AGCGTGCAGCTTACCAGCGGGACTGGAACTGACGGCCCCAGCCCTGACTACAAGGGGGGCCTGGACCTCGTCGTGGTGGCCAACGACACGGCGATCCGAGGACTAAACGCCCGATCCATGAAGGCGCTCCTATCCGAACTCGAAGCGATGGACGCCACCGGCCTCCCCAGAAAACATCTGCGACTGCGGGACATGTCCGCGGGTACTCACTGCGTCGGCACCCAACGACCCTACCCAAACAAAGTCGCTCAGGTCATGCGCAAGATGAATGCCTCAAAGCCGCCCAGACCAAGACCAACCGCCACAGCCCCCCACTCGGACGGACAGATGCTCCAGCAGCGCCTGACAGCAGCTTTTCCCGGACAAGTACCACTCAGGATGGACCCGCACACTATCATCTGGACCGACGGTAGCTGTATTAAGTCGGCTGAAAACGACGGCCAGAACAAGTTGGGTGCGGCTGCATACTGTGGACCCACCGGAAAAACGCTGCACATCGACCCAGCGGGCGAAGGATGTACGAATACCATCCAACGGGCAGAGCTGGCAGCAATACGCGTAGCTCTATCAACCCAAAGGGCAGTGAACATCACCTTAACAATTGCCACTGACTCGCAAGCCTCACTGGATCTTATCAAAAGAGCAGTAAACGATCCGAGTAAACTGCATATTTCCAAGCACAATGCCTTGGATGGATGGATGGATGGATGTTACAAGCTTCAGCGAGCTCGTACGGCCCAAACGAACCCGGAGGCCCCGCCCGGCCGTCAGGGCGATGGATTCAGGGCGATGACCTGGATCCACTTCGCCTTGCACTTTTTGATACAGGGCGATGGATGACGTACAACAAAGGTCACACTTGGCAAGAGAACATAAGCCTGCCAACTGATATCTTTTCAGTATTCCTTTAATGAATAAAAGGAACAGAATGCTGCCAAAACAATCAGTGTTGGAAAACATAGGTGGCGCCGCAATGCTCACCCTCTGATCTACATAAAGCCTTGAGGAATCATAAGACATGTTTGGATGGCGTACCAGTAGCTTTAGTACTCAGTCCGTTGCTGGCACAACAAGCTGACGCATGGATGCGCGGGAAGCCCATCACCCAATCCCTTGTCGTTTCGGACATAAGGACCATATAGGCTTAAATTCAATGAAGAATGCTGGGACAAACCGTTGATTTGCTTGTTGTAAGCAAGGGGTGCGGCTTTACACGAAGTGGCTTTTATAAGAATGGAGTGGGAGTCATGCACATGGGCGCCCTTGCATGGCATAAGGGATGCGAAACATAGGTCGAACGTTCGTTGTATGAATGTTGGTAAGATATTGCTCAGTTTTGGTGGTGTTTAGTAGAGGTCCATTACCTGGCCATCGGGGTTGCGCGAGCTTCTAACCCAACCCTGACGAGGCCAACGAGTGGATCATCGATTCGATATACCATCCTCGTTTGCTGCTGAACTTTGCTCGTGGGTTCGTTTTCGTGTCCTTGTCATTTTGCGTGGTCTGGAGAGAATTTTTGCGATGGAGATAGGACCCTCTCCTAGATTAATGATCCTCATGATCTAACTACACGTTTCAGGGCCATAAGTAAATGATTCTACCATGCGTCGTGAGTTCTGGTAGATATGCATGTCTGGTGTTACCGGTGAGCTAACCCACGAACGCAGAATCGGAGTTTCCCACATGCAGCTGCCATGGGACATGATGAATACTGAGTGCAACATGTATTCGCGTCTTATCACGAACGCATAAAAAGACGCACGCGATACGTCACGTCTGTAACAGGACGCACGCTACTAGCGAGCGTGCTCATCGCTATCAAAGGCTGCCGCGCATAGGGAGCCTTCGCTATCCACGTCCGCTTCTTTGAAAGCGTGACGCTGGCATTAAGCCTATACGATCCCTATGTCCGAAACGGCAAGAGATTGGGTCATGGGCTTCCCGCGCATCCATGCGTCAGCTTGCTGTGCCAGCAACGGACTGAGTACTAAAGTTACTGGGACGCCATCCAATCATGTCTTATGATTCCTCAAGGCTTTATGTAGATCAGAGGGTGAGCATTGCGGCGCCACCTATGTCTTCCAACACTGATTGTTTTGGCAGCATTCTGTTCCTTTTATACATTAAAGGAATACTGAAGAGTTATCAGTTGGCAGGTTTATGTTCTCTTGCCAAGTGTGACCTTTGTTGTACGTCATCCATCGCCCTGTATCAAAAAGTGCAAGGCGAAGTGGATCCAGGTCATCGCCCTGAATCCATCGCCCTGACGGCCGGGCGGGCCCGGAGGCTCATGAACCGCTTTGACAGCGCCGTCGATAGGGAAAAGAAAAAAAGAGAAAAAGTAAACGAAGCAAACAAAACAAACAACAAAAAAGGAAAGTTTTACGCAAGAAGAAAACGGGTGTTTATGAGAAAGAACAGCGTCAATTTGACTCTGAAACACAATTGCCTATTACCGCCGAGAAAGGTAGGTAGTTAGGTGCTCATGCCGGGAGCGAAACATCTCAAAAATAGCCTTTGCAAGACCACGCTGATCATCCACTTGCATGATATCACGGATGTTCGCATTGACGGGCACACCGAGGTCCCAGATCTTCTGACGCGCAGACATAATCGCCGGACATTCTACCAGGAAGTGTTTCTCATCCTCAATAGCACCATTACTACGACACACAGCGCACACGCGGTGCTCCCTAGCCCTGTTGCTCTCACTGTTAACCGCCAGGTCAGAGACACACAAACGAAAGCGGATTAGGGCACGATGATGCGCCGGGGGGATATAACCCGCGTACGGCTTCGGTGGCCCCATCCAGTGCTTATGGCGGCCCATCTTCACGCCGGGCTTCCTACCGTCCGTAACGAAAACTCTAGGGTCCACATCTAGCCTATCATTCGCCCAGTCGTCGTTGACACGTGTCCTAAGGGTATCCATCAGCGCTTCGACATCAAGCTTGCAAGCCGAGTAACGTCTAACCCTCATATCAATGCCTCCCCCGACTGCCTCCTCACCCCAGTCATGCTCTAAGTGGTTAAGGATACGAATGACTTTGGATCCCCAACCATCAAACTGTAAATTCGTTACTAACGCCAAACGAATTTCCTGACGAAAGGCGCTGTGGTATACGCTACTAGTGTCCTCCACCAAACTATTCCAGAAGCGAAATACGGATTCAGCCCAGTGCAGCACAAAGCCTTACTAATGGACATCGCCGACCTACTGTACGAATGCGCCCAACAGAACACAACCGTTCACTTCCTGAAAGTGAAATCGCACACAGGCCTTGATGGTAATGACAAAGCTGACAAAGGAGCAACATCTGTCGCACGAGGTGAGAACCCAGCAACATTTACTGAAAAGGCCGACAATGCCCCGTTCGATAAAGTGTTCTGGCTGAAACAACGCGACACTGGTCTTTACGTTAGTGACCTGGACAAAGGCCTTTATAAGCGTCTCCAGCAAGGTACCTTCGCAGGCTATACCAACGACACAATACTAACTGAAAAATGGCGTAACACCGCCTCGAAGTTAGACCCCAAATCTAGCAATTCCTTCCTTAGTAACGCAAAGATGCCACACTGGCTCAAACTGCAAGTACTGAAAGCTCGATACGGGCTGCTATTTAATGCTAAGCTAAAGAAACTTTACGGACGAGGCGGAGACGGCAACTGCCCTATCTGCCGCAGCTGCGGCCCGACCGGCCCCACACCCGACTCAGGAGCCCACATACTCGGCGGGTGCCCCCACCCAACCATGAAGGGCATGTACATCAACCGGCATAACCAAGCGACGCGCACTATTGCCGACTGCGTTAACGGGGGCCACCACGGTGGTGGCTTCATGATTATGGACGCCGGTAAAGAAGAGGATCTCCCGCCGTACTGCAGTGGGACGCGCGTCCCCAAATGGATGCTGCCACACTTAGCGGACGAGGAAATCCGTCGCCTCCGCCCAGACATCATGTTCATCCCCGACCTCCCCGCGCACAGAACCAAGCGCAAACGGTACCAGGGGCCGGAGTGCAAATCCAAACACGATGTATACATTGTTGAAGTAGGCTACACCAGTGACCTACAGCACTCCGACAAACTCGAACAGAAAACCGCACAGCATGCACGGCTAACAGAGGAACTCACGAAAGCAGGCTGGACGGTGCACTACACCGAGGCGCAAGTCGCCACCCTGGGAAGTACTGGGACGATAACCAACACACTAAAACCGCTACTGTGCAGACTCGGCTCGTCCGCTGAGCAGGCCCAGAAGACCTGCCTGCACCTCCACCGGCAAACAATCGAAGCAGCGGGCACGATTATCCGGGTGCGGCGAGTACTGGAGGGTACAGTCAAGTAACCGGTACAACCCGAACGGTTTCCCACGGTGGTGCGGGCATACAGGAGCGGCTACACCGCCCCTCAGTTCCCCACCCCCTTAACACACGCCAGGCCTCGGCCGACGTACTATTATTATTATTATTATCGACATATCCGATTAACAACAATCTGATATATACCAGGTAAAACCGCCGTAGAAACCACCAAGACCCATTTTCACTATCCGAACCCGATTTTTGACAAATCTGGTGGAGTGATCAAGTACTCATGCAATATACTTATATCAGCAGCTGTGCAACAACGCCCGCGTCCTCTTGCTTTTTCGGCAAAACGTATGTATTCTCCTAAACGCCGCATAACCTGCTGCTGCATGTTGTGGGAGGAAAAGGGCCTGGAACCCGTTAAGTCGAGTGAAATGCGACCCCCTCTAGGCGCGGCCGTATATGATGCAATGTACTGATCACTCTCGCTCCATCAGCTCCATGCAACAAAAGCATGCATATGCGCCGGCGGAGAAAATGCTAATCCGCACGCAAGCAAAAAATATATATTTTTATGTAAGACGCCAGAAATATCAGTGGCTGGTGGTAAGGACCTACCATCAAGACGCGAAAAAGCGATTTGGTGCAACTTTTGGTCACTTCTCGGAATGATCTATAAATGTACGTGTAAAATTTGAGCCTTCCGGCTTTGCATCCCTTCCTTGCATACTTTAAAACGACTCCAGAGGTCCTCAGTGGGACGAGACAACCCGAAAAACATCTCTCATGCTGCGCATGACCTCAGATGGAAACTGAATACGGCACGCCACGCATGGTAACGCCTGCCGGCGAGCCTGGCAACAGCAGCGTGTACGGCAGCGGGCGGGCGGTGTCATCCTTCGCCAGCCTGAACCGGGCCCAGTTTTTCGAATCCGCGTTCCGCATTTCAATGGTTTGCTCAAGGCGCTTCATGTCCTCGATGAAGTCCTGGTTCGCCTCGCAAGCAGCAGGGTCCTGTGGGTAGGGGAAATCCAGGATTCTCTCAGAACTCTACCGGCCTTTTAGTGAGGTAGTACCAGCCACAGCGATGTCATCCCCCCCCACCCCCCAACCCCCTGCCAACTCAATAGAGCTTTCGGCAGGGTTAAACAGGGCCAAACAGAACATAACGGCAACAGCCTGAGCTAAGCAGGCCTTAACGGCCTGTTTGACACTGTTGGAAGCCCAGTGGGTTGGTACGGTACGTTACTTATCGTACGAGACACATGCCGACAAAAAACAAAGTGTATCCTATGTTTTTAGACCACTAGCAGCTACAAGTATCGGGTTGCGAGCTTGCAGCTGGGCAATAAAATTAGCGGTAGTAGCAATTACCGCGGCAGGAGACACAGACGAGAGCAGTGGCAGGGATGGCGTCCTCCTGGGCTCAGGGCCCCTTTATCTCCGGACTTCACAGCCCACCCAGTCATCCACATCCTCTGGGTTCTACGCATCATAATTCGCCTCAGGTCTTCCTCCCTCCCACCCTCCCCCCTTCTTTAGCCACATCATCCGCAGCTGATGTGGAGGCCTACCAGGGGAAGCTGCTTCCCTGTTGTTCCTAAAACCTACCTACAAGCATTCCTCCCACCCAAATTAACACACGCACACGCACACACAAATCCTCACCACCAGATGCGGGTTCATCTCGTCGAGGGTCTGCTCATCCCGGGCATGAGTCGACAACAGCTTGACAGTAGCGGCGACCTGTACCCAGGGATTACGGAGGGAGCACGGCAAGCATTGTGGGGTTGTGGGAACAATAATGTGGCGCGGTACGGGTGATATGCGCTCGTGTGTGTGTATTGTTCTCCGGAGTTGCGTTACTAGTTAGCCAGTTCAGAAGGCCTAAGCTGAGGCGAGGGTGCAAGCACCCGCCTAGGGCTGTATGTCCGAGATAGGTAGCTCAACTGCACAAGAAAGACTAATATCCTAAAATGCGCAACACGAGAAAAGAACGTATTGAAAGAGGGGATAGATGAGGGGGGAATGACATAGATGCAAGGCGGGTGTAGGGATGTAGTGTCCGCTGTATGGATTAAGCAAACCACCCTAGACACCGCTCTGTCAGAGGAGACAACGTTGATCGATCGGCGTCTGAAGCAGCCTCCCTCAAAACAATTGCTGTCATAGGCGGGATGAGGGGATATACTGTTTATTGTATTAAACTACAGGATATGTCGGCGAATGAATCGTTCGCTGAAGGTGGACTGCTAACCACTAAACCGCTCAATGCATTAGCCACAGGCCTTTAAGCCCCTCTACAAGCGCATCATGTATGCGCATACATACATATACACACATACACACATACAGATACGCATACATAAACACATACACACGCAAGCACACAATCAAGAAATCTGAAGCAGCACACAAAACTAATTAGGGTCGGTGTACATCATCCTTTGCCGTACAGTTTCAAACTTCGTACCGTGGCGGCGGTGAACGGGTCGGAAAGGTAGGTCATGATAATGGCTTCCTGCTTCTTCCCGAGAGAGGCCCGTTTCAGCTTCTGCGAAACCGTTTGAAGGGGGAATTACAGGAGGCGCGTTGGGAATGCTGCTATTTGATGGTTCTAGGAAGTATTGCTTTTGAGGCTTTTCCAAGGACGATGTGCAGGTTTGCAGGAATTCAGGCTTTATGGAGTTCAGCGCCCTGGGTTACGACTTGCCGTACACCACCCGCCTTTCACAACCCCCTGGTTCCCATCTCGGCGTTCACCACACAAGCTCGAGGTAGGATGGTACTTAAAGGAGATCTGGCAGCCCTTGAACCCTCGCCTCGTATTGAGCACTTTGCAGGTACGGGGAACACACCCACGACCATGTAAACCACATACACACACACACAAGCTCGTAAGATCGAAGCATAGGAATGCGATCACCCCAGATCACCTCCTCCTCTCTCCCTAAACAACCTGAAACCTCACAGCTTTTCCAAGACCCGCTTCCACAGAGCCCCTCTCCCCATTTACCTCCCAGGACTTATCCCCAGGCGCCGGCATGGGCTTCCGCACCAATGATGGTGCATTGAGGACGAAGCTTGTGTAGTCGTACTGCCCGAAGTTGACCGCCGCGTGGTGGCCCGATCCCAGCCAGGCAATGGTGGCGAGCACCCGTACGAGTTGCTGTACGGAAGTGATGTCGCCCGCGAAACCCCAGAGCTGTTTCTCGCCACCGGGGCGGAGTCCGAACTTCATCAGGTCCCCGTGGCCCAAGGTCTGTATGTATGTGTATGTGTTTGTGTGTTTTGCGGAAGGGGAGTATGAAATTAAGAGGACTGTTAGGAGGAAGGGAGTCTGGGGCATGGGCTGGATAGGTGGGAATGCGAATACGACGCGCGTGGAAATGCGGGTGTGTGAAGATGACAAATACTTCACATGGCCGCACCTGTCACCATGCATGACCGTACCGACTTGCAGTACATCCTTCCGCAGCGCCACACAACCCAAAACTCACAGGCGCGTGTTTGAACTATTACTTAAGGGGTGCGAAAACCCCGGGAGCCCCGGGTGGTTTCCCCCTCGTTCTCACCCCCCAGGCCCAACTAAGCCGACTACTTAAAACCGCCCCTAAAACCCTAAAACTCACCTTGACCTCGGACCACCATTCCTTCAGCTCCGCATCCTTCTCTACATCCTCGTCACATTTGTAGTACAGCCTCAGGTACTTGTCGAAGTACGATGTCAGGGCGTTCCACACATCCAAGCCATCCGTGGCGTACGGGTAATCGAGCCAGGGCTTGCCGTTCGCGTCCACCATGCCCCTGTGTGGGTTAGGGTTGAGAGTCCCAAACAGAAGCAGGGGAGAACACGTGTCGAGGGTTTGCCGCCTCTTGCTGATTCACAGTAACTTAGGGTTGCGGGGGAGCGGTTGGGACACGCAGCCGATGACGTCACCTTGGACAGTGTGTACTAATACGACTGTAAGAGCGAATGGAGCTTACACGAGTACCAAAACCGCTAATAGCATTCCATCCGGCGAACCAATCAGCGTATTCATAAGTAATATACGACGAGGAACACACCAGCTTAATCAGCAAAGAATGTGGGAGGTAGGTCTACGCCACCACACAGTGCAGTCCCCACTACTTAATACATACAGTGTATGCGTATGCGTATGTGTATGCATATGTGCAGGTGAGCGTGCGTATGTATGTATGTATACGCGTGTGTCGGTTATCGTGCACGGTTTTCATTTTATTGAAACAAAAGGGGGGAGAAAGGGACCATGTTAACGGTTGGCGGTAGTGGTGGGGCGTGATTGGGAAGGTTAGCTTTGTGGACCGTTGGATTGCTCCTGCGGTGGGGAGAGGCTTTGGTGTTTTCTTCTGTGGTGAGATGGCTCTCCTGTGGTGCTATAACACCCTGCACATCTAACATCGCGCTCATCTAAGCAGTGCTCCCCAAGCCCGATCCCAGGCTCTCCCCTTCCTATCCCCTTCGCCCATTTTCCCAGGAAAACCGACACACGCACTCACCGGGTCTTGAGATCCTCCGGAAGGGCCTCCGTGGCGAAGTTCCAGTCCTTGCCGTACACTATGGACGATAGGCTCATGGCATAAGCCCCCGCAGAGAAGGACTTCTCGATGAGACCGCCCGCATTGACTAGGCTCCCGCGTGCATTGCGGTTGATGTTCAGAGTGTAGCGGAAGTGCGGCAGCATCAGCTTGTAAACCTGTGTGTGTGGGAGGGAGTGGAGTTGCAAGAGAATTAGAAAGAGAAGAACCTAAAAAAATGGGTAGAGGGGAAGAAATCAAAAATCTCGAATGTTGGGTTTTAGGGTCTTGCACCCTGAGATCACACAGGTATCCTGACAAGAGTATAACCATTATAATCATACGTTGCTTAACATGCATATACTTGATCATCTCATAACTCCAGGTAATCTAGAATGCCAGCGTCTAGGTAGAAGAGTGAGACGTGCTGAGGCAATAGTCGCTTGGTACGTGTTTTCCTCTGGCAATACTACAAGACGTCGCACTCATTAGACACAATATTGCCGTATACCGTACAATTTATAAATTATGCCGTACCGGATGCATGGCGCTGATCTGTCGCCGTAGGGCGATATAGAAGGGCTCCAACACGCAGTGGGTTCGGAGCCAGTGGCTAATCAGCTGCAGGGAAGAGTTTCAGGGTTTTAGGGTCTTGGATTACATACATGGGGTTTAGGCCCTACGAAGGGGGGGCCCAGTAACAGAAGGGCCAGCAACTGCACATTGCAAGATGCGCAACATCCTTCCCCTCGCATCCATAACTTCTACTCTCATATCACCTTTTCAATCCACAATGCCACATCCACGATCCAACAGACGTCATATGCATGCACAAAAGACAGCATGACATACATGCGATAGCGCCTTAACACAAAGGGGGGCAGATCACGTGCGTAAGCCCACCTGATGAAAGGAAGAGTCCAGCGACTTGAAGATCATCTTGGCCAGTTGCCACACCGCCCAAGTGGAGCGATCGGCGGAGAGTTGGGAGCGGGAGTAAACATGTCCGGCGGAGGGCGCCAGGCCGTCCTCCCCCTTATGGGTCTTGGGATGGGCCAGCTCAATCGCCACGGGGATGAGCCCCACGTCGTTGCCCTCAGCATCCCTGGAAATTTCGGAGCGGGAGAAGTTTTGTTGGTTACTGGTTAGGGTGACTGAACTAGGGAGGCCAGGAAGTGGGTGACTGAGGGGGTGAGCGGGTTTCCGATTAGGAAGAGTTGGTTTTGGTTTGCATGTATATGGAAGTTGTGTATGGTTAGCATGCATATGGTTAGCATGCTTATTTCTTTATACGCCAGCGGCAAGTTTGCGTGGTGGATGGCGACGTGTTGCCGCAGTTTGCTGTTACTTGCTGCGGGGTTTTGTGAATGAACGACAAGGGATTGATGCCAGGTACTTGGGGTTTTGTCCTTGCAAGGCGGGTTCATTGGATGGGGACCTGTCCCAGTTGCGTGTGGAGGTTGCGGCGGTTCTTGGAGGGCTCGCTCTAGAGTGTACGGCACCCGCCCACTTGTTGCTCACTTTTTGAGGTAGAGGATGGCGCGGCCGGCATGCTGTACGGCCTGGCCCTCGTCGGTCCGGCCCAGAATACAATTTTGCAGCTTGCCCAAGAACCCCTTAGGCTTGACAACAATCTTGGCAGGGTCACTTTCAGCCAACGCCCAGATGGCCGACAGATCCCAATAGTCGATGTAGTACAGCCGGGGCTTGCGGCCAGCCTTCGCCTCCGAAACCAAGTCCTTCATTGCATCGCCCTGCAGGTCGCCTGTGTGTTTGCGGTGGTTGCATGTTGCGGTTTGGGGTTGTTTGGGGTCGCCGTGGACAGATCACGGTGAGGGGGGGCAGAGAGAGAGGGGGGGAGTAAAATTCGATTTGGAGACAAAAGCTTTGTGCTATGTGCTATGGAGGCATTTCGCCATGGCCATGTTTAATTACCCCCCTTCGCTTCCCCCTCCCTACCCCCCACCTCAACCCGCCTTGCAAAACCCGCCTCTGGGCCCCCCTTTCCGCTCTCTTCTGTATTCGCAACGGGACGATTTCTCCTTGTGCAAGCTTAGCACAAAGAATATTCTATACCTAACCCACCTGCCACCCTCGTACCTGTGCAAAACCACTATCATCCTCGCCGCGTTTGCCATCCTCCCCCCCTCCCTCTCTTCCTCCCTCCCCGGCAGGCAGTCGCTCGTACCGATGACGTGCTCCTCCCGAATGGCGCTGCCAAAGGTCTCCGGGAGCTCCGTGAGGGCCTTGATGACACACGGGTTATACCCCGCTACGGCCTGGCGACCGAACTCCTCATCGGAATGCCAGGCGTTAGGGCGGCTATCTAGCACGCGGGGAATCTGTGTGTGTGTGTGTCGGGGAAAGGGAAGGAGGAGGAGAATGGAAAAGAGGGTGAGTGAGAGAGTGAGTGTTAAAGGAGCGGCCCAAGGGTGAAGGGCTGAAGATGGGCGACTTCCCGACAGGACAGAAAGAGTTGTGGGGGTAGATTTGTGTGTATGTATGTTATTACAGGGTGGTTAACTTCGCCAGCGGCCCCTTTCCCGGGCAGTCCCTGCTCTCCCCTGCTAGAGGGACACCCTAATCCGTCACCCCATCCGACTTCAGAATGTATTCGTTGGGTTCGGCAACTCACCACCAGCATCCAACCAAATCTAGCAGATCAACGGCGCATCAACTTAGTTCCTGGTCAGCTCACAAGATGATTTTATCACGTCCTACATCGTCCACATGATGGGGGGCCACATCCCATTTCAACACTCCTCAAACACCCAAAGAGCTGGCAGGCGGATTTGAACACGGGTCGGCCGGGAGCTGAAGTCGGCCTTATCCTCTGCCAGCCGCCTGCCTGTGTATGTATGTATGTATGAATCCATGTGTGCTCGAATGATAGCGGCGGCCGTCTAGTATGAGATATATGTACGGTGTACGAGAGGCATATGTGTGTGTGATATGTAAGCTTACGGACCCTAGCTCGGGCTGCTTCATTTCCGAGGCACCGCACCTATCCGTGTGTTCCAAACAACAGGATTGTAAACACGAAATATGTGGCGAATGAATGTCTGTATGCCTCTGTGAGAACAGTTCATATATGTAAGTATGTACGTAGCCTGGGCTATAACTTGTATGTCCGCGGGGTTCTCAGGAAATGCCGCCCTCCCCTGGCTTTTGTGACGCCAACAGCGCATGCGAGCCCGTACTAGCATCCCCCCAGCCGAACACGGGCAGCCAACACAACATAGCAGCAAATGCCAGTGGGATACATAACAAGTTTACATCTTGCAAAACACTTGCATAAACGCATACACACATGCACGCACGCCGTGTAAACGTCCCCACGTATACGTTACAAACCCACTCAGGGAATGACTTGGTCATGGACGGGTTTTCCAGTCATGGATTTGGTCATGTATGTGGTCATGGATCCGGTCATAATTTGTCATTAAGTCATGGATCTGGTCATGGATCAGTTCATAGTTTGCATAAGCCAAGTGCAGGATATGACTGGTTGGGGACATGAAATGTATGTGATTGAATATGTCAATTTATGTCATGGGACCGCGATATGACCCCAGCCAGTCATGGCTGCACTTTATGACCCCATGAGGTCATAAAGGTGGTCATGTACCTGCTCATAAATATGCGGAACATGACCAGGTCATATTGCGCATGGTATTCCATGATGCAACAATGCAGGCCATGACCACCCTGGCCCATGTTTCGCACTCATTCCAGGAGTCGTACACTGCATTCCATGACCACCCTGGCCCATGTTTTGCTTGGTTTACATGACTCGTACACTGCATTCCATGACCACATTGGTACCGTGATTGTGTGGTGCATATTAATATATCTCACATTGAAGTTGAAAAGGTTGTTAACGCTTGGCGTGTTGCCGTTCAGGAAGGCCCATAGCTTGGACCCGAGTCGTTCCTTCTTCCCGCTCGCACCGGGCTTGGAGTCCTTGATGAATACGCTGTGCCCAGCAGGGGTGCCGGTGGCGGATCCGTACAGTGGGCCCACCTGGCCAGGCAGCAAAGGACAGTTTGGGGAAAGGGATGGATTAGTTTCTGACTTTGGGCCTGGGGCCCTCACATAGCCCAGCTGGACGGGGACCTGGGGACTCAGGTGGGATTAAGGGGGGAGAGGGGGGTTGCATGGGAGCTTGTGGACGGGGGAGTGTGTGTGTGGGGGGGGGGGAGCTGGGGAGTTACGGAAGCGGTGTTGAGGTTATGTTGTAGGAGTAAGTGGAATGAGGGGTTGCAATTTCAGATACATAAAGCAGCTTAGGCAGCCCATCCTCTGCTGCACCTGAACCCCCTTAAACCCCTCACCCGCTGTTCGGTTGTCAGGTTATCCAGCTGGGCCGCGTCCTTCTTCTTCAACTCGAAGTCCCAAGTACCTGACATGGTGTGCGTGGGCGTGTGTATTTGTACGTGTTTTGATAATACATCAAATGAGAACACAGGTGTTGGGGAGAAAGAAACTTTTGGAAGTTCAACTTGGCAATTGGGGCGCCATTTCCCAAGAGAAGATATATAGTCAAACTGCAGAAATCAACAAAAGTTTAATATTTCCTCAAATTTTATTTCTGCCATGCCATTTAAGATAGCTGCGCTGCTGGATTGGGGGTGGGGTGGAGTAGGGATTTCGGCCCCATCCGGCGGCCGAGAACCAGAGAACCTTGACCGCACTGGTGCAGCAACCGCCGGTCTGTTTGTCACCAGTAACCGCCAACAGAATCACCGGAGGCCTACCACCACCAGCTACCTTACATTTGACTTTCAGCTGGGGAGGAGACCGGGAAGTGCTCAGGCTTTGGCCAGATATTTACTTTTTGAGTACTCGTTCTTGTAATTACACAGAATGACGGCCCTTCCATTACCCTTTTAGTGCAAGGCATGTACAACACCTAGCCCACGTACAAGACATGTAACCCATGTACGAGAAGACGCTAAAGACGTGCCAGGCACTTGCAAGGCTTACCGTCAGCCAATCTGAATGATGACGCCTTTCTGAGCTTCCTAGCCGGGCCAGGATTAGCAGTGCCTTGGGGGTGTATGTTGGTGGGTAACATAACCTCGACGGAAGTGCTAGCCTGCAGGAGGGGACGGGGCGGGAAGGGGGAAGGGAAAGCGGGAAGGGGAAGGGAAAGGGGAAAAGGGGGCGGGGAAGAGGTAAGAAGTTAGGCGCATTCGGAGGCCGGCGACGGCGCGGGTTGGGAGGCGGCAAGGCGAGGAACAGGTAAAGCTTCTTGAGGACATACACGAGCTGCCTTCCTAGCTTCCCACGTGTACAACATCACAAAAAGCTGTACGACATCCTAGGATACCGTACCTTTTTGTACATTGCAATGGCATCCTCGAAGTCCTCAAAGTAGTCCAAGGGGGGGGTGAAGCAGTGCAGACCCTTGGCAAAAATTGTCCTAATGATTCCGATGGTTATGCTGGGCAGTACGGTGATTGGTGCGCGATGTTTGATGTTGGCAGCTTCCTGTTATCGTCCATGGAAGATTGAGGAGGGAAATGGGCAGGGAGTGGAAAGTGGCTGGGCAGTGGTGGTGAAGAGTTATCGGCGATTAATGGCCGCAGGCGGGCCCATTTGGAGATAAACTTGTTGGTGAAGATCAATAACATACATATTGCTGGACTACGGAGCTCACATCGGTGCAGTTAATCTTTGGCCAGTTCTCGGCCTGTACCGCGGCTTAGATTGATCAAAAAACAAAGCAGCTAAGCTATGCAATGGTGTAGGCCGTGTGGCGCTTGTTGCGCTTACCGCGATTACTGTGAGGGCGGCTGTTACGACTCCAAGTACAGTTCCTGCATTAAATTCGTGGTTCTTCTCGGCACCGAAACGGTCGTCTGCATGGCGGGGAAAGAGTGGGGTGGGGGGAAAGCCACTGTGCCCAAGGAACAAGCTTAGCAAGCAAGCAAGACAAGTCATACAAGTACGTTATAGTTGGCGCGAACCTCTAGGTCGGCGACTTCAACGGATAACTAAATCATCCACATACATATATACATGTACACGCATGTTAATGTACACATGCTTAGGCGGCTCAGGGCCCAACCCCCCCCACACATACACACCCATCCACACGCACACACGTACCAAGCGGCAACCATATTTCCTCGCCCGCAGACGGTGCCTTCTCCCGGCCATCCCCCTCGTTACCGCGGTTGGTGGCGATACGGCGGGGGTACGGCAGATCCTTGTTATTTCCCAAATTGGGACGACTAAGATCGCTGGTGCCGAGGTCGTTGTACGTCTGTACGTATACATGTAGGTGTGCGGGTGCATGTATGTCATTTAGGCATGTGCAGTTACATATGTACGAGTGAGGCAGTGGCAGGGGTTTTAGCTTATTACTGAATTAAGCAACCTACAGACGCTTTTCCCGGCTACCCTGCCTTTCCCTCCATGTGCCGGCCGTGTTTATGTGGGGACGAGGGAAAAGCTTGATTACAAATATACGTATATGATCTGTATGGCCAAAGTCAACATAATACTAAGTCATCTATTGTTAAGCGTTGTACATGAGCACTCTTATGTGGCAAACCGACCCATCTGGCTGGCGCTGTCCCACCCGCCAATTTACGGACATACTACCCAACCAACTGCCCAACAGCCAACCAAACCAACCAACCAACCAACCAACCAACCTGGTACCAATAGATGCGGTCGGTCTCCTTCCGCTTATCATCACGGCTTGCGTGGGTGCCCTAAACACAATGAATGGTCCACGAAGGGGAAAGCGAGGTGGAGGAGGAGGAGGTGGGAGCAGGGGACAGAAGATACAGGGCAGCGCCAACGGAGGAGCCCAAGGTAAGGGAGAAGTCAACAACAAGATAGAGAGCGAGACTACCCTTTCCCTCTGTATGTATGCCCCCTCACCCTCACCCTCACCCACCCGCAGCGTGTTCAGGTCGTCCTTGCGCTCCTCCACCATGCCCGTTGGGGTGTCCTTGGGCAGGTAGGCAGTTCCGGAGAAAAACACACGTTTACCGTGATCTGAACAAATCCAGCTGCTGACGGGAAACTTGTGCTTGGAAGTGGCACTGGAGTTGCGAGACGGGGGAAACAGAACAAGGGGGAGGAAAATGGGGGCCGGGGGTGTGTGAGGAGTAACGGCGGGTGAGGTACGACTATGTGCCGTGTGTTTTGTGCGTCTGCGATTGCTCTTTTCTCAGCGAAGGATTTTCCCTTGCTATCTATATGCATTCATGTGTCCACGCAAATGAGCGTACATACGTAAGGTGTTGCGCCTACAGATGTATGTATGTATGTATGTATGTATGTATGTATGTATGTATGCATGTATGTATGTATGTATGTATGTATGTATGTATGTATGTATGTATGTATGTATGTATGTATGTATGTATGTATGTATGTATGACGTTGATTACACTGTGGGCTGAAAAGCCGGGGGCCCAGGGCCGAAGCACAGCGCGGGGGGCGGGTGCATACGGCTGGTTAGTCTCATGCACTCCGCCCCCGGGTCAGGCCGCACGGGAAACGACGGCCGGCACGCAACAGCGCTTGTTTGGCGCTCCAACTAGACGGGATCTATGCCCGTTGGTCTCCTAACATAAACGAAGTCGCAACTGGGGGGCTCTTCCTGCCGACCGAACGAACCGAGCATCTCAGAGAGCTCGCAACCAGGACCTGGGCGACCGGGAGCCCGACGAGTCATCCCGGGCTGGGGAGGTCACCAAGCTCAAAAAACCTCACGCAATAAAAAGAGCGCAAAGAGCTCACACCA